TCGACCTCCATCCCTAACGGACAGGCAGACCTGCAAAAATGCTCAACCCTTTCTCTTATCTGAGAGGGCACTCCCAACGAAGCCTTTTGAAATATTCAGCTTTCTTTCCCCCCGATAATACCTCTGTAAACAAGCTATACTAGAGCAAGAATATCTCATATCATCAGGGTTAAAAGCAAGAGTATCCCATATCATGCTTTTTCCCTGTCTTTTCCTTTGGCCTTGTTCTTACCTGCAAGACAAGGAGAAAGAGAGCAATCAGTCAGCACTTGGAATCAAGCTTCCAACCAGGAACTGACTGCCTGGAACCCCTTACCTGATTACTTACCTGGCATTGCTCTCGAGTACTCATCTTCAAAATCTTATGCTTCCAGGGAAGATACCGCATCTGCCTGAGGAACAAATAGGGCAAGTGAGAAGGATACAAGGAAGCATGTGGAGACAAGTGTAACAGCACACGTGCCGATACATCCACTACTCTGTCAAAAGCAAAAGTATCCCATATCAGCAGGGTCGAACGTACTCTAGATTTGATGGACTTGTTTTGACCCTCAAATTCTTCAGTCGGCCTTATACTCTGGAGGAAACCAGAAAACCCTCCAGCCCAGTTCAAGAATAAGCCTGTGGAAAGTTACTTCTTCAAAAGCAAAAGTATCCCATATCATCTCTCCTCATTTTTCTTCTCTTTATCCTTCATGCTGCCTGCAAGATAGGGAGAATGTGAACAATCAGCCGGAGCTCTGATTGCTTACCTTGTCTGTCACCTCTTTCAGCAGATCCCCTAGCTCGGCGACTTGGGGGACTCCTACTACATGGTTTGTATCGCGCTTGACCAAGCATGAAACTACAAGTAAGCTTCAAGTGAAATTGATACATTACCTTGTGCATCTCCACCAGTTACAGTTACCACCCCTGGATGGAGGAAGAGTACTTCCAGAGAAGATGCCACATCTACCTATGAGACAGATAAGGCAAGTCAAGACGATACCACACTCCGGTACTTAGAAGTTTCGTGGCTACGAGATCATTCTCCCACAATATTTCCTAATGTCATTTGTACTAAATCATTCACTTGTACTCATTAAAGGAGAACTAAATCATTCACTTGTACTCATTAAAGGAGAGCTTGAACCTATGTACTTGTGTAAACCCTTCACAATTAATGAGAACTCCTCTATTCCGTGGACGTAGCCAATCTGGGTGAAGCACGTACATCTTGTGTTTGCTTTTGTGTAAACCCTTCACAATTAATGAGAACTCCTCTATTCCGTGGACGTAGCCAATCTGGGTGAACCACGTACATCTTGTGTTTGCTGTCCTATCTCTATCCATTTATATACTTATCCACACTAATGACCGGAGCAATCTAGCGAAGATCACAAAAAGTGACCGTTTTCGCTACCTAGGATCTATCTTGCAAGAGAACGGATAATTAGATGGAGATCTCAACCATAGAATACAAGCTGGATGGATGAAGTGTAAGAGTGCATCCGGCGTGTTGTGTGACCGTCGTAGGCCACTGAAGTTCAAGGGAAAATTTTATAGGACGGCAATAAGGCCAGCGATGTTGTATGGCATAGAATGTTGGGCAGTGAAGCATCAACGTACACAAAATGGGTGTAGCGGAGATGAGGATGCTTCGTGGGATGTATGGGCACACGAGAAAGGATAAGATTGGGAATGAGGTTATCCGAGGTAAAGTAGGAGTAGCCAAAATTGAAGGAAATATGAGAGAAAATCGGTTCCGGTGGTTTGGACATGTGCAAAGAAGGCCTACTGACGCTCCGGTTCGAAAATGTGACTACGGGACAGAGGTTCAGGGCCGAAGGGGTAGAGGAAGACCTAGGAAAACTTTGGAAGAGACCCTAAGAAAAGACTTGAGTACTTGGATCTAACGGAGGACATGACACAAAACCGAGCGCAATGGCGTTCTAGGATTCATATAGCCGACCCCACTTAGTGGGAAAAGGCTTTGTTGTTGTTGTTGTTGTTGTATCTGTTGTTTCTCCATATTAAGTAAATTATGAGCTATTAGAATGTCGTAAGTGATCTTGTCTTGGAATGTTATTTCATGGGTTCAGACATGCGGTGAATTTTCGTGTGCCAATTAAGTTTGAAATTTCTTGGGATTCAAATTATTTAGTGAATTTTCTTTCAAACTATTTCCAGCCCAACTGCAGTTGAACAATCCTGAAAAACTATAAGCTTGCATTCTTTGAAGTAACATGTACAATATACAAGTTGTTATATAACTTTATTTCTTGACATGGTTTCTTTTTTTCATTGTTAGAGAATCTGACCCCGATCGGAAGAATGAGTCTGATGGGCAAACCATGCACAACAAGGGAAATTCTCCCAAGTCCCCTACTCCGGTGGTGAAGCCTCAGATGTGGACCATTTTAGATGGATTTTGGCTTATATTGTCATCATCTTACTTGTTGTATGTGTCCTTGTTCCTGTGGTTGAGTGCAGTTATCTCTTCATTCTTCTATTTTCAGGTAAGACGTCACAAGGTCTAACTTAATTCTAAATTAGCGTCTCTAGCTGATACTATATTACCTGACTTGACTCAAAATGGATTCTTGTCTGCGGATATGTTGCTCTCCCCGTATATTTTTATTTTCCGTTTCTCCTGTTTTCTGTGTCCCGTCTTTCATTCTTTCTGTCTTTCAGCTGATTTTTATCTCTGATTTTTTGTAACTGCAGAAAGTGAGTGTAATTGCCATGACTGTTACTACCTCTCTTGGAAGAAGAAAATTGCTGGCTCAGATAAACAGCTTTATTGCTGTTTTTATCCTTGCCGGACAACTTACCATAACAGTAGGCTGTTCTTCGGAGATTTTGTTTTATAGTTGATATTTTGTCTAGTTTCTATGGTAACTAACGTGAGATATCCTTTGTAGAATATTTTCTTAGCTCATTGCTTGCTAAAAGCGGGTCCTTAGTTAGTTTCATGTATGCAGCTGCTTTTAACATTATCGCTTTTCTGCTTTCCTGCTGAAGTCAATTTAGTGTCCTATCCTGTTATGTTTCTGAAGGAAAGAAAGCTTGTCTCAGGCCTGGAGGAGGATGACTTATGATCAACACGTTCCTATTTCTAGGTGTCACAAGAAAAATTAAAAATTCTGAAAGCAAATTAGAGAGTGGTTATAGTGCGGACTTTTTGGTTTTGGTAGTGGTTATAGAATGAATTTTGCTTTGAAAGTGCAATGCAACTGATCTATGACGTTGTTAAACTGTTTATTTACTGTCATGAAATTCCAACAAATGTTTCCACAGATGTGTATGCTTTGTATCATACATCAATATTGGTATTTGGGTATAATCACTTCGTGTGTTTTATCACAGGGGCGTTTTCTAACTATAGTGGGGGTTACTACAGCTATATGCGCGGCTCCATTTGTTGCCTTCTTAAATTTGGTTGCTATTGCTGTCTGGCCAACTTGGGTAGCCATCGCAGTGTTTGAGACCTTGCGGAAGGTTTGTATTTTCTAACTTCTGAATTGCGATTTCCCTTTCACAGTTTATCTTATAGCTTAATCCAACCATGACGTCTGCATGTAATTTGCTAAAAAATGTTAATTTTATGTAATAAGCATAGGTGAACTTTCTTTCATTTGGATAAAAACGATGGTCAAAATCTCATATGAGAGGAGTGCGAAGTTGGATCTTACAGCTTTCTTTTTGTGTTTCTGTGCAGTTTGTTACTTATGTTCTGACCAGACCAGGTAGAGAACTCCTGTTTACTGTCGTCTCGCAGGATGAAAAATACAAAGCCAAGGCACGAGTTTCTGAATTCTTTTTGACATTTAAAATAATTTCGATTTGATTTCTTTGTCAAGCGTGTTCATCTACCGAGGATTTCTTATTGGTGCCCTATATTGCACTAATCATGTACCGTGAAATTTTAAGCAAATCACCCAACAATTTGAAACATTATTTAACCGAGTCCCTGATATTGCAGGTTTGCATCGATGTGTTTGTTCAACGACTAGGAGATGCTACAGCAGCAGGAATGTACAAGCTACTTTTCAGCACTCTTAACGGAAGAGCGCCAACCGTGTCTCTCTACGGCCTGCCTGTATGTTTGAATTTGGAAGCATTTGCTTTTTTTTTAGGAAAACTAATGAAAAAGGCTTGAAAACTTTGAGTTTTAACAATAAGGACAAAATAAAGGGTAAAGTGAATAGTATTAGGATTGATTTTTTAATGTAAAAATGTGGTTTTTCGTTAAAGTAAACAGTACCGGAAGCTTTTGTTAAAGTTCCTCTTTATTTTTTTTTGGTTCCGGGTTATTTATCTCGTACAATGATGAACTAATGCTGATCCTCCTTGTTCTTCTCCAGGTCTGTTTGCTATGGATAGTTATTGCGTTTCATTTAGGTCGCCGTCAAGCTGAACTCGCAAAACTCCGGACACATTCCACTTCCTAATGTTTCTTGAACACATTTTTTTGCTGTTTATCTACTGTAAAAAAAACCGAAAATAACATCGAGCATGTTGGCTTGGAGATAGATGTATGATGATGTACGAAATGCAAGTTCTTTCAGCTCATGTGTGAGTAAATTTAGCAATCGAATAGTCACCGTTGGATCACTAGTTCTAAACTGAAACGAAACTGTACTGGGAACAAAACTGCAGTTAAAATTCTTGAAAGGCGTCCGGCGGATTGAGCATTGCCCAGAAATTAACCCGCCGCCTATCCCCTGTACCAACTCTATGCTGCATTGCGTTGATCAACAATGTTTTCAGCTTCTAATGGCATGGGAACCTGTCAATCATCGGCATACCTTCACAATATTAACAAGCAGGAGATTGTAAAAGGTGAAAGGGCAATTGTTCGTTCATGCGTAGAGAACGCCGGAAATCATACAATGCGAAAAAGTATGTTTCAGGGCAATTTCCGGCACCAGTGTCTTCGGACATGGCCCAAATGTTCCTGAGCACACTGTCTATGGTTATAAATTGAAGTTTAAGACGAGAAGTACTTACCGAAATGATCAAGTTCCGCGGAGAGAACACACGCGGTCTCTAATCAAGTTCCTTTCCCAATCTGCTATGTCCTCAAATGCATACTCAGGAAGATTCTCAAGGGGCTCTTTCCATGGATCTTTTTTGGTCAGATAGTAGGTAGCTCCGCTTATCGCCATCTTACTTGGCCCGCAAGGTCTCTTGGAAGTAAGACTGACTGTGTAGCTATCAATTTCAAACAATTCGTTAACTGAAGAAACGGAAAATCTCAATGCCATTTAGACTTCATCGAGGCCTCAATACTTCACTGGAAGTCCGGAACACTAAAACGGCCGTAAAATGGTCCGGCATTGTGCGATTTCTTGATGGAAAGAAGCAGAAATATGTAGAGAAACAAGGACTCACATTCATTCCAAGGAACCAGTATATGTAAGCAACTGCAACAGCCGGAGCCCTTCCCAAACCAGCAGTGCAATGCACACACACTTTTCCTTTTCCCTTGGAGACGGCCCATTCGAGCGATGCAACTGCTTTAGGTAGACCATTCTGCAAGGAAAGAAAGATTATGTTATGCATGTCATTTTAGTATAAATATGGGTCTCCTCATGTGCCGGATTCCAAGTCATCGGTCATCAGTGTGCAGTTCATGCCTGAAAATTGAACACGAGCAATCACGTTAGTTGAAGCAACTGGAATCGATTGCATGGTAGTAAGGTACTAATTTCTCTACTCTTACATAGTACCGTATTTGTTCATTTTCTTCAACGTTTATCCCAAATGTAAAACCTGAAATTCCGGTCACTTAAACTTCACTTATCACCATTGTCCCTAGTCATTCCAAATTCGTAAAAAGACGTCCTGAATCACTAGTCACTTACAAAAAGAAACGTCCTAATCCTCGACAACTTCAGCAACATGTCATTGCTGCTGCTCAAAATCGTGGTAATCTACGCAGACTGATATCTGATGTGATCGTAAGTAGCTAATTATTCGAAGTTACTGCAAAGTACTGAACTTTTCGCATCGCCTATCAGATACAAAAACAGTTTTCTGGACCAAAAAGAAGGAAAAGAAAAGGAAAAACAGTTTCTGCAATGCAGTGCATACTTTCTTCTTGTGACACCCGCTCCTCCATTAGGGGAATAAAAGTTGAACTGGTGCCAGAATTTCTTACAGAAAAGGTGCAATGAAAAGTTAATAGTTACTATCTTAAAGCACTAATCCTACATTTAAGTAGAGATCAAAAGTGTGCAACTGAGTTATAATATATAATCTAAAGTTTGTACACATGAACTAAAGACCTACAAATGCTCCAGTTAAAAGATACGACTATGAGACGGAGGGTCAGAGCAAAAAGGCGAGAGGAAGACTTAAGAAGACTTTGAAAGAGACTAGAAGACATAGAGTACTTAGAGCCAACGGAAGACTTGATGCAAAACTGAGCGCAGTGACGTTCTAGAATTCATTCAAACGACCCCACTTTGTAGAATAAGGCTTGGTTGTTGTTGTAACATAGCCTTAAATTTGGTTTGTATAAAAATTGCATTTAGCGCTTTCAAGTTTCAATCTTTAGATCAAACCACACAACTAATCAGAAAATAGAGAAAAGCCCACAAAAGATAACAAAATACAGAATCATCAATCCATCAAAAGTGAAAAGCAAGCCGAAATTACAGAAATGTAAACGTGGGGAAATTACGAGACTGACCCAGATCATGGTGGTACTCGTAGGGGTTCCTCATCATCTTCTTCATGGCAGTGTTGTACTCCTCCATCGTGTTCTTGGAACTGGAGGGTCTGCTGCTGTGGGTTTCTGGGAATCCACAATAAATTTGTTGGGTTTCTGGGAATTATTGGAACCCATTAAATAATTGCATGGAGACCTTTAAAACGCATCGTTTTCAAGCGGAGCTATGAAGACTGAGCCAAAGCAACTGTTGCCTACACTTGCCATTTCTCTCCAGTACTTCTTCTCCTCCTCCCTCTGGGAACCAGAGAATCATACCATGCAGATAGTTTGTCCAAAATGCTCCTTACAATTCAAATAAAATTCCTAATGTGAGGCCAGTGGATCTTCCAAGTTCCAAGATGATATTTTCTAACACAACAGATTGGTTTGGGATCATAAAATCAGGTTGCTCATGGACCATATTGTTGGTTCGCTAACAACCAAAACCTTTCATCATTCTATTTGAGCATGTGGCTTTCAAGTCTTCACCTTTTGTCTACAGCCATGAAATGGTTGACATCTAATATTATAACTTTTCTAAATCGTTGCATACAGTAGTTGATAAAGCACGGATTTTTCCTGCGATGTTTTCCTCGTGTTTACAACATTATGTGAGTATGACATGATTGTATACGTAAATGTGAGATGTTTGATGCAAGTTTCCTCGACTTGCATGGCAAATATTAAGCTTCACCTGCACACGAGGGACTTTCTTATATATCCCAAGGTGCATGCTTCATGGTTAGATATCGCACATATGTGCCCCGAGATACTAATGAATTTCTAATTAGCTTTTCTATCTCTATTTTTTTGTACATATTATACTCACTTTGGAATCGAAGCAATCTTATGAAAATCACACCTTAACACTTTACGTTGTTTTAAAGTTAACTTGATTTTTACATCAACAAAGACATTGCTAACACCATCAGAAATCTATAACATTCGCTTTTTTCAACTGTTTTGGGTCAACACTAGAACAAGTATTAATTTTTAGTCTGCATGTGATTACACACATATAGGTACAGACGTGCTGCAATTTGATTGTGTTATCATTAAATTAAAGGAAAACTAATGAAAATGACTTGAAAACCTTGAGTTTTAACGATAAAGATAAAATAAAGGGTAAAGTAAATAGTACCATGATTGATTTTTTAGTGTAAAATGTGGTTTTTCATTAAAATGAACAGTACCGGGAGTTTTTCGTTAAAATTCCCTTAAATTAAACCCAAACCCATAAATTAATATAATTTAACCATTAATCAGGAGGGTTGGAGACGGAACCAGATCCCCCTCTGGATCCAATAAAACTGAGTATGCTGAGCAGGCCATCTGGGCTGTTGAAATTTGATCCAACGAATACAAACAGGAGGCCCTTTAAAGTTATAATAATTGTGGCCGTTGAATCATATTTCAACTGCCCGGATCACCTACTTAACAAGTTCAGTATATATGGATCCGGAGGGGATCGGATTCCGTTGGAGACCATCAAGTTAGTGTCAGAAACACTAAAAAACATATGTCTAACAAAACTGGGGTCATTTCACATGAAACTTCCTGCACACCTGCACTACTGTGGCTACAAATCATCAAATCACAATCTAATTTGTCTTGGAAAAAACCTCCAAAACATGACTGTTTTAGAATTAGAGGGAACACATCCAACATGTTTTGATGTTTCGTGTCATATCAACACAAGAATATGTTCTCGAAACCCTACTTTGCAATCCTCTCTAACCTTTTTTTCCTTATATAATTTTCACTTCACAAAAACAATTAGGGTTATCAAACAACAACAAAGAATTATCCTACTAAATAGAATCAGTTGAAATTTACTGCAATTCTTTTATGATTCATTATCATAAGGATTTGTTGTGAGAACGGAAATGTACCTTATTGTTCTTATTAATATTTTAATGATTTTTACCCCTCCCCCTTTTTTGGAGTCTAATTTAGACAAAAAATAGATAGAGAATAGTAAAGAGAAATTCTTTTTCTGATAATTGAACGCCGTTATAGGTACATTTAACATGCATTTTTCTATTCCAATCCTTTAAGTCCTCATACCAAATTGAAATAAAAGTATATGGACGATATTTTTTGGAGTACAAGTTGTTGACTACCTGACGTTCTCCTCTTTTCTTTTATCCAAATTTGAAACTGACAACATAAAATAAACTTATACGGACGAAGTTTAACTTATCATGCAGTAGCAAAAAGAATAATATTATCATCTGTCAATTATCTGCTAAACTAGCCAATGATCTATCCAAAGTCTCCTGCCAATGTACGTTTGTACATATAAATAATCTGAGTCTCAATTATTTGTACACAGTAAGAAAGGGAAGAAAATAAAGGAGGATTAATTATCTGGTTGTGACTTTGGAGCATACTTTTCGATCAATCAGTTAAATCCCCACTAGAACAACACAGGACAGATGTCTGGTCAGTGGAGTGGTATCAAAATCGCCCACTATAAACACTGACTGCTTGATTTAGATGGTCGGTCCCCTTTCAAGAGCATTTTAAGTTGTGGTTTATAGAGTCCATTTAGCATAAGCAAAAGTTACTAAGCTCAAGGTTGTAAAAGATGTTAGGCGTTAGTTAGGTGGCGGACTATAATCTAACTTCTAGGCGGCTAGGCAGGGTCTAAGCGGACTAGGCAGATTTAAGTAAATTTATGATATATTATATAAAAAGTGCCCATTTATACTTAAAAAGCACATAATTGTATTGAGATACATAAATTGATAAATAAAATGATATATAGATCATGAAGTACTAGACCATATTGAAAATATAACGAACACACATATAATTAGTGTTCATTCAAGTATTCAATAAGTCTCTTACATTTATTGACAAAATAAAATGCAACATGAAAGTTATCGATTTTTTACCTAAGTGAGAGTCGGGACCTAGGCGGGCTAGACGGACACCTACGTGGTTCTAGGCGCACTTTTTTAATTTTCAAACACTCAAGAACAAATCGGTGTGGTTGCCAGCCTTCTAGCGCCTAGGGCCTAGGCGGCGCTAGGCGGGGATTTTTAGAACATTGACTAAGCTAGATAAAAATATTGATACACAAATCATACTTTGATCTAGTGGTAGAAATTGTTTAGAATATCGGTATCGATAAAAATGTCGATACACAAAATTGTGAAAAATTGTGAAATATCGATATCGATATCAGTTGTCTTTGATAAAAATAGTGAAAATTTGCTAAAAAAATGTAGACATTTAAAATAAAACTTTAGAGAATGTATATGTAATTTCTTGATATTTAACATGTCGAAAATATTGACGAAATCTATTGATTTTAGCCGAAATTTAAGAGTTTCTCTTATATCTTGTGAAGTTTAGGCTTCACCCCATTTTCTTATCTTTATCTAATTTTTTTCGATATTTCCATGAAAATTTCGACTATATCAAAGAAATTTCATACAATGATTGTCTTTGCTTGGTTAGAAGAAGTCTCATGTGTGATTCATAAGGATGTCTGATCGATATAAACGGTCATCATAAATATTTCACATCTTTATCTGATTTTTTTTCAATATTTCCATAAAAATTCAACTGTATCGAAAAAATTTCAAACAACGATTGTCTTCACTTGTTTACAAAAAGTCTCATGTGTTATTCATAAGGATGTCTGATCGATATAAACAGTCATCCTAAATACGGTTTTCTTTTATTGTTATGTCGAGCACTATTATGGATGTTCATATGGTTAGAGGAAGTCTCAGATCCAATTCACACGAAAGTACGATTGATACATAGTTTAACCTAAATATAGTTGGCTCGTCTGCGATGGTCAAACTCTGATGTGGATGTGTTGTCGAGAAACCTTGAGATGAGAATCAATTGTTACACGGAATATGAACTTGATTTCACGTGTCCTGGTTGGCCTTGGCCCGATAGAAGTGGCTAGTGCCATTATTTGCTTGGTTTAAGTAAATACTTTATGTCATTAATCTTATCTTGTTGCAATTAAAAAAGTATACTTTATGGATTATGCGAAACTTCTTTTTCTATTTTTAATATTATATGATATAGTTAATTACTAGAAAAAGGCAATTGCAAAGAAGAACCCATAAATAGTACTGGATAAAAGAAAGGGAAAAATACATATATAGAAATATATATTTTTTGCATTATTATATTCTCCTTGGAAATATAGTAATTAGACCTGAAAAATGGGCCGTGTTTATCATGGTTGGGTCGTTTTTATGCTACAGTTATCTTAACAGGTTCGTAACAAGTGATCCAAGAACGTTCTAATTCGTTAACAGATTGTGTTATGTCAATCTCTACTATGTCTAGATCTGGCAAACAATATCTTATTTAGTTCTTAATAGATGACCCGATAACAACTGAACACGTTAACGTGTTTTGAATAGGTTACCCGATAACGACCTGACTAGTTAACATGCATACTTAAAATTTGTTATTTTCATGTCATATTAACGAATCGTGTACGAAATTGCCAGAACTCAATAACCATGGGAGAGACTCAAAACCAATTTTCATGAGGATTTTACAACATATTTTGATGATCAAATGATAAATATCTTAATCCGGTTTGTTCTTGGTTTTGGGAAAATAAGCACGGGTGATTTAAAAAGAAACCAAATAGATAAAAAGATCCAAGTCATCTAACATAATTAAGGGCTTCTTCGTGATTGTATTCTTTTTTTCTTTTCTTTTTTTTTAAATAGTTAAAAGTATTTTAGAGAACCAAATCGCTTTTAGCTATATTTTGTAGATAAAATCTAAAGCGTGTTTAGATCGTAAAACCACTTCTAGAGATTCCAAGCGCATTTCTAAGAAGCACTTGAAAATAAATTTTTTACATATTTATAATGAAAACTTCTAACTGAGCGCTTATGAACACACTCATTACTATAAAAGCAATGCAAACAACCCAAATACAAAATGAAAAGAAAAATAAAACTAACAGCTCAAGTGAGTAACATTAACGTAAATCAGCTAAACATCGTTTGTATACAAAACAAAATAACTATCAATTCCGAAAAATAAAATTAA